TGCGTCCTTTATGGAAAAGCCCGGATAGGGCTGAACAGGAAATATGTTTATATTTGAAAGACGGACACTATTATGGAATAAGAAGTCTTAATACGCTTTATGGAAAAGATACTTATTACTGTCTTGAATGTGAGGCACCTTACCGCAGTATTATTAATCATAGACAAAATTGTGCTGCAAAGTGTTCAAGATGTTGTGGGATAGGTTTTGGATTTCCTTGTGAAGAAATAGATCAATATGTGCAGAAATGTTCACAATGTGCTAACATCTTTAGAAATCCAGAGTGTTACAAGCGGCATATTAATAAAAAAATTTGCAAAATATTCAGAAGGTATTTTTATATTTTTATCTTTTTCCAAAAATTAAATAGGTGTGAAATTTGTGGGCAAACCTACAGGGTAAAAAAGAAATCTCATGAATTAAATAGTGAAGAAAGCGAAACTGAAGATTCTTCACAAAATGATAACAATGGAGATGGTCATGTTTGTTACGTGCATTTTTGTTCCCTGTGTCGATCTTACCATAAACGTGAGGAACAATGCTATGTTCAACCTATTGTTCCTAAAAATGATCGAAATTATCTATTAGTAGTTATAAATTTTTTGTTGTAATTCAAAAGGTATTTAGGTAGTATTTGATTTTGAATGTGAACTAATTTCACCAATTAAAAATAAAGACGAATGGGAATGTTTGAAAAATGACGGTGTAATTTCTTTAAACAATTTGCCTAACGATGAAAACTACCAATTGCACCATGTAAATTGTGTTTCGGTAATATTATTTTAAACTGATAATCTAAATTGGATAATAATCTAGACTCTATTGATTTGTGCGCGCTGTATGAGCAGTAATAATTGGAAAAGTGTGACAACAGGAAATTGTAAAATTTGTGGTATAGGTGCCACAAGGATGAGAAGCTGGACTTCTGCAGATTTTAAAAATCCTCTGCGTGAATTTTTGGACTGGCTAATTGTTGGCTTAGGTCGTGAACGCTCAGGACGAACTTATGCTATTTCACACTATGGAGGGTATTTCCAATTCTTACTTTTTCAATAGATATTATTTAGGCGCTATGATATGCATCTATTGTTGGGAGATTTGATTAAATATTTTGGCATCGAACCAAAAATCACAAGGACAGGAAATAAACTTTACGAAGTGCTTGTTAAAAAACAACGAGGAATATGCCCTTATATTTCATTCCGTGACTCCTTTAATTGGACAATGCTTAAGCTGGAACAGCTCCCCAAAGCCCTAGCACTTGAAATTGACGAAGGGGGAAAATCTTTTTTTCCGCATGGCTGGAACTTCAACAAGAATATGAATGTTCGGCTTGTCGGGTTGCCTGATCAACAATATTATTACCCCGATTCAATGGGAAAGGAAAGGAGAATCAAATTTGAAGAATGGTATAACAACCATAAAAACGAACCATTTTGTCTTCGTGAGCAAATTGTCGAATATTGTCAACAAGACGTGCGTATTCTTGCTCATGCACTTGTGAAGCTTCAACGCCTTTTTTTTGCATTAGCTACAGAGCCTGCAAAGCGCGATGACGTGCTTGTTAATTCAATGACAATTGCAAGCGCATGTATTCGCCATTTTTGTAAGCTTTTAAACCTAATTGAATATATTAAAATTTTTAAGGTATAAATTATTTGAAAAAGGACCAAATGGGTATTATTCCCGACAACGGATATCATAAAGATTCAAACCAATCTGCAATCGCTTTAAAATATCTTCATTGGCTTTCTCACAAAACAGAGCTTCGAATTCAACATCAAGAAAGCCCTGAAGGTGAAAAAAGGGTACGTGTTTCCGATGGTAGTCTTTTAAGACTGGATGGGTATATTAAAAGCACTCATGGCGGATGGGACCAAGCAATTGAATTCCTTGGATGTGCCTGGCACGGACATGAATGGCAATTAAAATTTTATCTTAATTAAATCCTTTTTTAGTTTATATCGCCCACATGAAATTTGTCTAAATGGAAAGACCTCGCTGTATAATAAAGACAAACTTGAAGAACGTATTCGTTTATTGAAGGAAGCTGGAATTTGGACTATACCTGTTTGGGAATGTGAAGTAATGAAAGACCTTGGAGAGTGCCCTGAAATGTCTCGATTCTTCGCTAGATTGCCAGACATTGGCCCTCTTTACCCTAGGGATGCTTTTCATGTATGATTTGTTCAATTTATTAATAAATTCTAAATTAAGGGGGGTAGAACAGGACCCCTTTCGCTTAAATGTGATTTAGAAGGAACTTTTGAGAAAGCTTTTGAGATCTCATGCTTTGATGTTGTAAGCTTATATCCTGCAGTCAACTTTTATGCATTTTATCCTATTGGTAAACTTTAAATATTAAATTCATCTTCATATTAATTAGGACATCCAAAAGTTTTGGAATTAAATAAAGATGTAAATTGGACTAAACCTGAAAACCTACATCCATATAGAGGACTGTTCAAGCTTTTCATAATTCCTCCAGATGATTTGTATCTTCCAGTTATTCCTGAGAATATACATGGAAAATTGGTAAATATTTTTTAAAAATTTTCATCCATTAAAAAACAGATCTTTCATCTATGTCGTAGTTGTGCCGTGGAAGCATCGCCTGGGTTAGCGATACGTGCAAACCGTAAATATAATAAAGAAATTGGTCATGAATGGTGTCGACACAAAGATGATGAACGAGGATTTGTTAGTACAACTTGTACAGTAGAACTTGAACTTGCTTTGAGGAAAGGATACAGAGTGACTAAAGTATACAGCATTTATCATTGGGAACAGTGGTCAGACACTTTGTTGCGGCCTTATGTTCAGGATATGATGCGTCTAAAAATTGAAGTTTTAAATATTTTATATTTATAAATTTTTATTAGGCAAGCGGTTGGCCGAGTAGTGTCCTAGTTCCTGGCAACCCTGAACTTGAAGATCAACGAAAAAGAGAATTTATTGAAAGGAACCAGAGAGAATATGGAATCCATTTAGATCCAACACGGATAGAAAGAAACGAAGGGATGCGTTACCTTGCGAAAACATGCAACAACTCAATGTAAGAAAAATTCTTAATCATTAAACATTACTTATTAGGTGGGGTCGATGGGCACTGCGCTGTAATTTATCTCAGGTAAATTTTGCTTTCAATTTGTCACTGCAAATTTTTAGGATTGCATAACTAGCTCACCTGTTGAATTACATAACGTTCTCAATGATCCAAAACTTGAGCTTGGGGCCGTGGAGATGTTGGCGCCGAACCTTTTTTCCGTTCCATACAAGCGTCGAAGTGAATTTGTACGCCCACACGATAAATATAATATTGCGGTCGCCTTGATTACAACGGCAACAGCCCGAATAATGCTTTATGACTATATGGAAAAAATTGTAAAAGAAAAGGATTGCAAGCTACTTTACACAGACACGGATAGCTGCTTTTACTTGCATCGTCGTGGACAAATGCCTCCCTTTCGTGTGGGTGATATGCTTGGTATGATGGATCGCGAGTATGGAGAATGGAATATCCTTGCATTCTACACTGGTGGATGCAAGCAGGTATAAAACTAATTTTAAGCAAACAATTATTTTTAAGTATGCCATGAAAATGAAGCACAGAAATAGTGGTGAAATTAAATTTATTGTGAAATGCCGCGGTTGCTGGGACAAAGTTGACTCCCCTCTAGACTTTAAACAATTCAAGGTTACTCTTCAATCGTTTTCTTAAATAGAAAAATATTTAGAAAATGGTTGAAGCGTATGGAGAGGAACAGGAACCTGTCATGCTGGAAAGAACACATTTTCAACCAAGTTGGCGTAGAGGTGAAGTTACAAGCAAATCTCAAAAAAGGTAATGGATATTTTTAAACTTTATTAAGTGAATAATTTAGACGATATGCTCCAATCTATGACAAAGGAATAGTTGATGATAATTTTGATTGTTATCCTTATGGATACAGAGGCGCACCACTTAATGATCCTTTAACTTGAATAAATTTTATTAAAATTTTTTCTTAAAATAAATGTTTTAAACATAATACTTTTATTAATCCAATTAAAAGCCAATTTGATAAATATTTTAAGTTTGCAGAATCAATATGATCAGCGACGTCAATATTGGTACACAAATATATAGAAAATTAATTTATAAATAATTTAAGAATCCGCTTCACTGATGATGGAACGTCTTCATTTAAAACATGAACAAAATTCTCTACCCCCTGAAGAAATTATTGGGCCACAAAAACAAAATATTTTTATATTCAACTCTCCCAAATGTGGATTTGACAACCGGTTTAAAACAACATTTACATTGCTTGGCCGGTCATTCAATTCAATTGAACAGTATTTTGTCTGGCAAAAGGCTAGATTCTTTGGAGATTTGGAACTTGCTGCAGAAGTGCTTATGCTCAATAATCTAGTTGCAATAAAACGAATTGGAACTCGTGTGAAAAATTATAATAAGAACGAGTGGAATTCAGTTAAAGACAAGGCAAATATTTATTTTTAATAAAATATTAAATAATATTTTATAGATAATGTATACAGGGCTATGGGCCAAATTTACACAAAATCTGCAGCTTTTCAATCAATTACGTGCAACGGGGGATGGTCTTATTACACATGCTTCAGCTTACAATCTCCATTGGAGTAATGGCTTGAGGCATAAAAGCCCTTGTCTGAATGATCCAAGCATTTGGGAGGGAGAGAACAAACTTGGTGAACTAATGATGGAATTAAGAACTGAAATAAACGCAAGTATTTTCTAATTCTTTATAAACATAGAAATTGAATTGTAAATTTTATTTTGAGTTGAGTAAATTTCTTCTTCTGACTTTGCGCCTGTAATAATGCATTTTCCAGTTGTGAATAGTATAATAACGGCTCGTGATTCCTTTAGTCTTAGACACATCCCTGGAAAAAATTCTGGATTGTAGGATATGTGTTTAGCAAGCCATTTGGGCGGAGAAACCCTCAATGAATCATAAAAAGCTAAAACTTATTTTTTAAGTAAAAATCAAAATACCTGGTAAATTTAGAGTTCCTGAAAATGTAAAAGAAGAGACCATATTTTGAATAATGAAATCTCTCATATTAATTAATATTGTTGATGCCACAGAAATTAGTTTGACAAAATATATGATGGCGGTTTTAGAGTCATTTACTGATTTTGTTCCGACACAAACTATTCTTCCATTCGCAAAAAGTAGTGCTGTAGCCATTATTGGCTCTTTAATTTTAATTGTTAGAGCAGAAAAGCGCTCAGGACGATATCTAGCATTAGGAATCTTAGATGCAAGCTGCGCAAGATCTAATTTGTTGTTATTTTCTAACAGACTGGCTGTAGATACCACATTTTGAATAACTGCTTTTTGATACATATTCTAGGTCCTATATAAATAATTACAAGAATTTAAATTCAAACAAAATGTTTATAGCTCCTTTCACTATGATAATTTCGGGTGCCACGGGGAGTGGCAAAACCCAATGGCTGCTAAAATTTCTTATGCATGCTGACCAGATCATAGATCCTCCTCCTTCAAAAATATTATATTGTTTTGGAGAAATGAACGAAACTGTCTTCAAGCTTAAAGAAATGGGAATAACTACTTATAACGGGGTTCCAGAAACTGAACTAATTAAACAGCATCAGCTTTTAGTCTTAGATGACTTAATGCTTAATATTCCAAATGATTTTTTAGATTTACTATTTACTCGCGGTTCACACAATTGGGGTGTAAGTGTGATTTTTGTCACACAATCTTTATACGGTCGTAATATAAAGACGGCCCGTGCAAATGCCCATTATATCCTTCTAACAAAAAACCCTCAGGGGCTGTTGCAAGTAAGGACACTAGGCTCACAGCTTTTTCCTAAGATGCTTAATTATTTTCTTGAAGCCTATCGAGATGCAACATCAGAACGATTTTCTTATTTATTAATAAACATGCATCCGAATACAGATGAAACTATGCGATTATCTTCAAAAATTTTTCCCGGAGAAAAAACTACTATATATTTGCCTCTGTAATATATAAGCACTCAAAACATTTTATAATGAAAATGCGATCATTCAATTATAGCCCATACGTTAAGGAAAACTTTGAGTTTCTCAAACAATTAGCAAAAACTACTTCCGATAAAAAGAAAAACGCACTCATACTTTCAGCAAGCGCAGATCAAATATTAGCTATTGTTGAAATTTGTGCTAATATTTTGAAGAATAATTTTACCTTGAGCCGGAAGCAGCGCAGAAAATTAGCTCAATTTGCGGATTTCTATAGGGCAATCGCTCGAACTCGAACTGAAAAAAGTGCTAGAAATAGAATCCAGCAAGGTGGTAGTGCCGCTCTAGCCGCTATACTTGTACCCGTCTTAGGCGCCTTAGCCGAACATATAATCCATAGATTCTCTCAGGAATGAAACATACAAAGAAAATGATAATGGTGCCTGAGAGCGAATATCTCACACTTTTAGGCATGATTAAAAGCGGAGATTATCTACAAACAGAGAAGACACAGACGGATGTCGATATTATGAAAACCCTCGATGACCCTAAAATTTCGGAAGATTTAAAAGCAAAGAAATACAGTTTATTATATAAGAAGAGGCGTCAGCTCAAACATGAGTTGGAAAATCGGCCACAAAAAGTTATTATTGATGAAGTAAAACCCGCTCCAAATGTTGCACCATACTTGCAGGGTAATATCGCTTCTACACCAAAACCAAAATTAATTCCCAGCAAAATTCAAACATATTCTAACACAGAATATCCGTCTGAATTTGAAGTGACTCCTAAGTTGCCGCGAGCAAAAAGAAAAAGTGCAATTCCTTTTTCTAAATTCAAAGGTATTATTGCATCACGCTATTCCACAGAATTGGATAATTATGTAAAAGATAATGCAGAAAAATTCAGAATAAGTAAGAACGGGAGTTTTGAATCTAATGTCCCTGGAAGACTTGTAAAGAATAGCAATTTCACAGATGTTCTCGGATACGTAAAGGGTGAGACATCATCGCCCCCAAAAGGTTTCAGTTTTTTATTTAACCGTCTTTCTAAGGACCCGTTAGTGAAAGAGATGATTAAAGAGACGCGTGGAGAAAGTACTACTGAAGGTAGTTCAACCGATAATCAATCAGGCAGCGGTAAAAGAAAAAAGAGAGTTCTAGTAAAAGTCATGCCTATAAATTCACCTGGATTAGTTCGGCGAAAAAATAAATTTATACCAAAAATATGGGAAAAGCTTTAGATACTTTTTTAGAAAAAATATATTATTCCCTTAATTCTCCAGCTTCATATGCAGGAATAAATCGCGTCTATGAAGAAGCTCGTCGAAAATATCCTAAAATAAAATTTCAGGATGTTTATGATTTTCTGCATAAGCAAAGGGTGTATACAATGCATAGACCCTTAAGAAAAAAGTTTCCCAGATTAGCCACTAGACCAAGCGGCCTGCACACAGATTGGCAAGCGGATTTGGCCATATTTGATCAATTAACTGAACATAATGATGGGTATAAGTATCTTTTGGTATGCATTGATGTACTAAGTAGAAAAATTTTTGCTGTGCCTGCCAAATCTAAAAGATCCGAAGATATGATTGACGCGTTCGAAAATATTTTTAAGTTTTCAGAAGGGATACTTCCGCATAAATTATATACGGATCGAGGGTTAGAATTTGAGGCAAAACGAATGAAAGAATATTTTAAGAAGAAGGATATAGATAAGCGTGTAGTCTATAGTCCCGATGTTCATGCTTCTATGGCTGAAAGGGCCAACCGTACAATTAAAGAGAGATTGTATAGATATTTTAGCGAACAAAATACGCTTCGTTGGAAGGAAGTTATTCAAAAAATAATTGCAGGAATAAATGCAAGTATCAATCGAACCACAGGGGTAGCCCCAAATTCAGTTACATTTAAAAATGCTGGGAAACTATTTAATAGACTATATAAGGGCTCTGAAATTTCACAACATACTAAATCAAGCTCAATACTGGAGCCAGAACAAATTGTTCGTATCACAAAAGAAAAAGGTAAATTCGAAAAGGGATATTTACCCAACTACACCGACGAATTATTTCGCGTGCATATCAAAAACGACAATAGATCACCCATAACATATAAATTAAAAGATTTTGAAGGAAATTTAATTGAAGGAATATTTTATAGAGAAGAATTAGTGCCCACACAAGAAGATACTACTCATCGTATTGCAGAAATTTTGAAATCACGTACAAGGGCAGGTCATAAACAACATTTTGTTCGTTGGATTGGATACAACGATAATTTTAATAGTTGGGTTAACGATAGTGATATTGTTCGAAGATAAATATGGACTCATTTTATGTGATTTTGCCTTCAAATACAGGAGGCGTTGAAGGAAATACAACTTCAAAATTTACTGTTCGAATGCCTGACACGCTTGAATTGGATTCAAGTTGGACTGTTGCACTATCAAATATTATATATCCATTTTCCTTTTCATTACTTGGGGATTCTGAAGAACAAGAATCTATAACTGTTTTTCGAAGATATGGGAATGAACTTTATCCTATTCGTATCGAGATACCAGATTTGTCCTATGCCTCAGAAGAGGCATTGGAAGAGTCCATTAATGCAGTTTTGCTTGATACATGGAAAAAAGAATTGGATCGAGAGCGAGAGGAAAAGAGGCTTGAAGAGAATAAAAAAAGAATTTATGGGAATTTTCGTAAAAGAAGAGATGCCGACTCAATACGAGATCAGTATGAAAAACATGGTTATTTCGATCTCAACTCCAATGAACTAAATAAATTTATCAAGCTATTATCTGAAGAGGATGATGCAGTTAGTCCCAAACTTACGAATTTGAGTCCAGGTGAAGGAAATAAAAATATTCGTCTTTTGCCTCCAGCAAATCAAAAATCCATTTACTTAAAAGTTATTGATAAATTTATTCTTTCTCAGCAGGCTCAATTAGAACCTGAGGAACAGCTGGTAAAAAATGGCTATTTCGATATGACAAAACAGATTGCATTTAATTTTATGAAATTTTTAGGTAAAGAAGGAATTCGATTACCGCCTATAAGCCCTCTAGCAGTAGATGGTATAGAAATGGTTAGATTCAATCCACATTCCGATCAAATAGAGAAGATCAAACAAGCCCTTGAAAAGTTTAAGAATTCTCCTTCAGTTGATCAAACTGAAGAGAATATTGAGAAAGAAGCCAATGAATTGGAATCTACTCCAGATACTCCGGCTGTTGATCAGACTGAAGAGAAAGATGTTACACCTATTGATGAAGCACCTACTCCGGATATAAAACAGGAAGAGGAAAAATTGCCTTCTGATCATGAGATTATTTTCTCTTTAGAAGATGCCATTCAACAATTGGAAAAGGAAGGTTACTTCGATATGCCAAAGGACCGTGCTTATAAGTTTATACAATATTTAAATAAAGAAGTTAAGGACGCTAAACTTCCTTTTGTATCTTCGGTATCAGGCAGCCTTTTTGTTCGATTAAAGCCGCAAACAAATCAGAAAAATATAATAATAAATGCAATTAAAAGTTTTCTTTCCCCAGTAGAACCCGCTCCTATTCAACAACAAGATCATTTACCAACAAGTGAAAATGACAAAGAAAATCCTAAAGAAGATACGCCTGCTGTAAACAAAGAAAAAACACAGAGTTCTCCTTCTATTTCATCTACTGATGACATTCCAAAAGGGGAGACTCCCGTAACTACCCCTGTAACAGAAGCTACTCTTAGTCCTGAAACTCTAAACGAATTGGAAAAAACAAATGATTCGCAACAAGAATCTAATAATGACAAAACTCCTTTAGATGGAAAAATAACACCCCTTTCACCTGTCGTAGAGCCTGCTGAAAGACCCTCTCTAACCGACGACCAAAAAACCTTATTGGATATGGCCGTTCGTGCAGCTACAAGGGCGTGGAGAAATAGTGTGGAATTGGCAGAGCAAGCCCAAATAAATATGGAACATGGTTACAAGTATTGGCAAAATGCTCGATTCAAGTATTCGCTTAAAGATAATGTGATAACATTAAAGGAGACAGGGGAAACGGTGCAATTAAGAAAAACGCCAGAAAATATTATTGGTTGGGTTAAAGCACAATTGACTTTGTTAACAAATCGTAAAATTGCAATACAAAAATGGACAGAGGAATGCTTAGAATATGGAAAAAGAGCCTCAGAAGCACAACTAGAAGCTAAAGCGGCGGAAGCACGCGGTAATGTTACCGATGCACGAAAGTCCGCAGATCGTGCTAAGGCCGCAGAACGCAAGGTAAAGGAAGCAGCCAGTCAAGTTGAAGAAGCTGTTGCGGGACAAAAACGTTTATCAGAAGAAATTATAGGTAAAGTTGACGCGGAACTTG